AATTCACCTCAGATCATTAAGATCAAGTAAATTATAAATTCCAAGAGTTCAGTCAAAGCAGGGTGAATCCACCTTCAGCTACTACACCCCCCGCTGCTGGAAGCAGCTTTCAGAAATGATCAGATGTTTAACATTAGGTACATTCAAATCAACGCTGAAAACAAATTTAAAAAACAGATCACACTATTATGTCTTTCCTTTCGTTTTCATTACTTTAAAACCTGTTTTCGGTTTTTAATACTTTTTTATTCTTTGGTTTTATTTGCTTATACTTGTCTCTTTTATTACTGTTTATGTAAAACACTTTGAATGACAAATGACAATTGTGCATGAAATGTCCTATATATATATATATATAAACTTGCCTTGCCTTAGTTTTCTGAATTATAAAAAAAATTCTGTAATTATTCCAGTTTTGCTAGAGATACAAAGCCTTCTTTTCTTTTTTTTAACAAAGTTTGTTTCATATCAGCTAACCTGCAGATAACACAATAAAATATGCACAATGCAAATATTACAGCAGATATTTTAACCGGGAATCAAGTGCAAACAAATACTTAAGATCGCATGACTAGCATCTAAAGCTCCTTTAAATACAATTGTGGAGTGTTCAGTTGTATACCCATATTCTAAATGCTTACTAAGCCAGTCTGCTCTGAAATAAACAAGCATTAATGCACACACCTAACAGTTCCAAGCCAGATACCTCGCATAAGTGGACTAAGAGTACCTTTATTTACAACAACATCTGTTGGCTAAACAAGCAGATTGCCTGAGTGCCTTTTACACCTCATGGTCTGACATGCAGGCAAAGCAATGCATGCAAAGTTGTTTAACAAGTTACAGTATTTTTTTTTCTCGCCACATTGTAGCATAACTCTATGTGCATCAAGTTACCAATTATATTTATGAGTGATTGAACTAAGTCAATGGTGTCAAACTCAATTCCTGGAGGGTCGCAGCTCTGCATAGTTTAGCTCCAACCACCTCCAACTCACACCTGCTTAAGGTGCTGTATGCAAGTTGATTCTTCTAAAGCATAAAAATATGTAATATATTTTATTTTTTAAAGGGGCGGTTCACAGTGTGTTTTTAAGATGCAGAGTAATGTGTGCTTATGCTTTATTTCTAAAAAAAAAAAAACATGTTAATTTATAGATCTTACTTTGATTATATACAGCTACTCAGCTAACATGAAAATGACTATCATATTTCCTAGTTTTTCTGAAATGCCCTCCCTCACGGGGCTCTGATTGCTCCGCTATCATGATGTGCTGTGATTCACGGATTGGCTCCACTTCAAGCCCCTACAAGTGAACACTTTTGCGCTGTGAAAACAGTCCAGTCAGAACAGCTGTTAGCAGAGTTAGCTCCTGAATCAGACAGAAATTAAGAGCATACAGCTCACACCTGCTCTCTAAAATAAAATCTGACAAGTGTCATTCACATATATTCAGAATAAGCATGTGTAATATGAAATGTTCTCATATCTTTTGCGAATTTGTTATTTGAGAACACACGGAAAGCAGCTGCATAGAGACACACGCACTGTACGTGCTGCTGAAGATTGTGGCTGTTTACAGGGGTTTGACCGATAAATATAAATTTGTAGCTAAATTGTTAGCAGTGCCAAAGAGCATTTCCTGTTGTTTACATCCTTGTTTAATAGGTTTTAGCCGAATCCAGAACTAATATGGTAGAGATTCTGGAAGTTGTCCTTTGTCAAATGTTAGCGCTACATCTTTTTTATATAATTCTCAGGAACATAATTAAAATTTAATTGTTAGCACTTTTCTCTGTGTCGTGTTCAGTGCTTGCAACCTCAAATACAGAAACAGAAGAAGCTCTGTGGAAATAGCAGTGATTGAAAGGCATTTTAGCTTTCATTGCTTTAACATTTAAGGGCCTCTGGCCACGCCCCTTCGCTGCCCACGGGGTGTGCGCGAGGTGTATGTATGTAACCAGAAGCCCTTGTGATCTCAATAGCCCAGAGGTATTTTTTGTAGTCCCCAAATTCGTTCGCTATAGCCTTTGCTAAGCTAACTCTGTAAAAGCCAATGTCTATATTACATTCAGAGATTTGACTGATCTCAGAGAATCAGTTAATCTAGCGAAATTATATTCATATTGCAATATGTACTGCAAAAAAATGAAATAACGCAATGTCAGATTTTTCCAGTATCATGCAGCTTTAGATTAGACCATTAGCATCTCACTCAAAAAGATATTAAAAAAAAAGATAATTTTCCTTTTTAAAGATTAAATATTGTGTAGTTTTATAACAGATGAAAAAATAATAATCAGCATCTACTAACTAGGAAACAATGCTGCATAATATCATTGCACCTGCTGGAGACATAGTACGGCAGCTAATTTCTTTGATTATTACTCCAAAATGAGAATATCAAGTAGGGCTGAATAAATGCTGGAAAAATCTGATATTACAAGACTTAATTTTTCTGCGATAAGTATTGCAATACACTTGCCATTTTACAAGATGTTTTGAATAATAATATTTGATGTTTTTCTGGAGAGTCTAACAATATTCAGGTACAGAAAATAAAAAGTCACAATGCAAAAAAGGCTTCTCTTACTTTGCTTTGTCTTGTTTCAAGTGCAAATACAAAAAAATGTATTAGATAAAGTAAAAATATTGTTTCGTTTTCAACTTCAGAGAAAATAAGTCCAAATAGTTTTTTCCTTAAAACGAGCAAAGTTATATGCTAGTGAAGTAAGTGAAATAATCTTGTTTTTTAATTTAAAATGTTGATATTTGGACTAGAAACAAGATGAAAATCTAAAAAAATAAAAAATCGTGCGTCGTTAAAATGTAAAGTTACATTTTTTGAGAGGTGCGCATCAGTGTCGGCGTCAGCCACGGCAAGGAGTATGCAGTAGACCGCATGAAGGCTGTGCTGCACCATACATGTGCGCTTGATGCAAAAGTATAAGCAGAGCGGGGTCATGTGACTCCACAAGCAGTATGGAAAGTAACTGAAATAAATTACCTGTACAAATTAGATCGATTATAGGCTCTCTATCTCGATTACTTTTCAATTAATTGCCCATCCCTACGCTGAACAACTGAAATTAAAACAGACATTGCCAAAAAAGGAAAAGCCCCCTTTTTTCTTATAAAAAAGTGAAAATGACTTGCACTTTTGCAAACAAAATTAATAATTTTTTTGTGCTTTACATATTAAAAGTATAAATAAGCAGTATCTTTTCTAAATAAAATAACTTGTATATACTGTAAATAATTAAACAGTGCATTTCTCGCATCTTCTGTAAACCAATATTTTAATAATAATTTTATTGTAAAGGAAAAATTGCTATCTCAAGGCATCTCACGCGCAGCTTCCAATCATCGTCAATGTAGTGCAAAATAAGGCATAAGAATGGGTCCATCATCTAACCCAGTGGTCACCAAACTTGTTCCTGGAGGGCCGGTTTCCTGCAGATTTTAGCTCCAACCCTAATCAAACACACCTGAGCAAGCTAATCAAGGTCTTACTAGGTACTTGAAACATCCAGACAGGTGTGTTGAGGCAAGTTGGAGCTAAACCCTGCAGGGACACCGGCTCTCCGGGACAGAGATTGGTGACCCCTGATCTAACCTGACCAGAGATCAGATGTATAAATTAGCCTCATACTTTAACAGAGCCAGGTTAAGTGACTCCACAAGCTGTAAAAATAGTCGAAAAAAACAACCTAAGAAAATTAGATCGATTATAAGTTCTTAATGTCGAATTCGATTATTCATTAAATAATTGCCCAGCCCCATTAGTACTTGTACATTGTTGTTATGTGTAGTGTATTAGTAGGTTGTATGAGCGATCAGCAAGCCTGTTATATTTCCACCCAACTTACATAAACAAAGATCCATTCAATTAACTCTGCGATGCACAACGGTGAACTAAATGCAATCCCAGCGGGCAAACTCCTCCTACACAAATAAACAGGTTTCCACACTTGCAACCCTCAAACTGGCCATGACTTAAAACAAGGATATTTCATCAGCATGCAACAAAGTGTCAGAATGAAACCACCACGCAAAAGTCTTCCTGTATGCTTGACTTCAGGCCTCACCTACAGACTACAAAAGGAAATGGAAGGAGAGTCGATAAGATGTTAATCAAATGGTGTAAAATCAGTAGCCGTGCACGAAGAATGAAAACGATCAAAGTTGTGTGATCACAAAAATGACAACACAATATCCGAGAAGGTTTATGTTAAGTGATCAGATTGTGTTCATCAGGGTTGGTGACTGACATCACACAGCCAGATATGGGATTATGCAGCCACATTTAAAGCAATTCAGAGCTATAACATGTTTCACATGCAGTTGTATTACTTTATACATGACATCCTGAACACTAGATTTCAATAAACAGTGGCCAGCTGGAATTTATGCAAATGCTTCAATTGGACTTTATTCCATAACTATTCCACTGACCAATGAATTTACAAGTTTGGTTAAGGAACTGTCTTATTTAGCTATTTATTTATCATTGAGCTCAAAATGAGCAAGTGTTAAGCACTTAATAATAATAAACAGTGTTTATTTATCTAAGTAATACTACTGTATTACTTTTTCTGACTTGTAAATCATATTTAAAACATAACCTCATATTTCGATGACCATGGAAACTGTAGCAACAGAAATAGCAATATCCACTCCCCCATATGAAAAGTATAAGATCAAAGCAGGTCTTGCCAATGTTGCACAATGCATGGCAGAAGTTACACTGTATTACACTGTATCACGCATCCTGTCTCGGCTCTACTTCTTTTTACTCATACATGCAATTAAACACTGTCAAACACTCATATTTCATTCCCTTCTCTCTTACCCTTTCAGACAACGGATGGCCAGGGGTGCCATCGTGCTGAAAGCATACCGCTCAGTCACATGCTGTTGTGTTAATGCATTCAGAGTTACGAATATATACAATAAGCGCCGCACATGCAAAAGACATAAGCGTGGAATGAAGACGCACCTTTGATTGTGAAGAGATGAAAACACGTATGGAGTCCAGGTAGCACGGTATAAGCTCCAAGGAGAAGGCTTTAGACCTCTCTCTCTCTCTCTCTCTCTATCTATCTGAGCCTCTGTCGCTCGCTCTCTCTCAGCTGTCTTACTGACTGTTATTTCCGGGTTCATAAAACGTCACTGCGCTTCTTACATTTATTGTGACCATACCTTTAATTTACCACCAAGCGTTGTTACACAATATGAAAACTAAAGCACACTACTATTAATGCGTATTAATAGACTCATGTACATTAGGCAAGCGATGATTTTAAGAAATATCTAAAAGTACTGTTATATCCATCGCGCCCCCTGCTGGCTAATGTATGCGTTTGCGCAGCGACACACCTGATGGATAAGCTCATTCATGTTATGTAAACCTGAGCACATGCAACAAGTAGCCTATTTTATATATATATATATATATATATATATATAAAATCAAAAACATTTCTATTCTAATAAAAATAATCTAAATAACTAAAGCCACAGTCAAGTATGGTACAAATGTCACCAGAAAATGGATATGTATGAAATATAATTTGCTGATGACAACAGCAACTATAACGATGATGATGATTATAATAATAATTATTATTATTATTATTATTATTATTATTATTATACACTGGAAAACTCCCAAAATTCCAGAGTTAAATGAATGGGCCAATATTATGACTAAAATAAAATTCGTATGAACATTTACTTTGCAAATCACAAAATAAGGACAAAGCAGGTGTCCCTGTATATATCTTAATGATGGGAAGACTTTTGGTCTTATGTGACAGTGTCTTGTAACACAATTTAAAACTACTTACCAGGTTCTTTTAATAATACTGTACTTTTGTCTATATAACCACTGTATACATTCTGGCTTTTCATTTAGTAGGTCACCAGTGATCATCTGTAACATTTGTATTATTTTGCCATGAACCAGAACAATAAAAAAATAATCATAATACAAATTATAATAATAAATTATAACATTAAACAGACAACAGTCATGTAAAGCAGCTAGTTGTTGGAATTCCCGGTCTGCCTTTAAAATATCAATGATTATAAGTTTAGAATCTGGATAGATCTCAGCTTTTAAATGCAACCATAGCTTCCGCTCATTTGCATTATTTATCACTAGCTATTGTTAGAAAACAATTGGTAGGCTATCTGGTTCCACTGACGTCGAGAGAAAAAAAAAATAACACACATAAAGGATTAGGCTACGGTTTTCAGTAGAAGTTATTATGGATGACTGATATTTGTTTGTTGTACTTATAAGCCTATACGATTACGTATTTTAGTTAATAGCTTAATAGATTAAGGTGTTATTGATCACACCAGAACTTAATTAGCAGTTTCCATACTTAAGCGTTCAATTTGCTTGATACCGGTCTGAAGTCACAAGAAGAACAAAGAGTGTATCTGAAATTTGGTAGTTTGGAGGGTGTAAAACGTGTAATTTACCAAATGGCAAAAGAAAGGATTCATATCAACTTGGTTATCATTGGCCATGTAGATGGTGGCAAATCCACAACCACTGGTCATTTGGTTTATAAATGTGGAGGAATTGACCATCGAACAATTGAGAAGTATGAGAAGGCTGCAACCCAAGTAAGTATTCACCTTTAATTCCTTTTAGTTATTTCTTAAACTGCTTTGGCTATTTATGCTTTTTTTTTCTTTCCCTCTCTTTAAGATGGGAAAGAGTTCCTTCAAGTATGCCTGGGTTCTGGACAAACTGAAAGCGGAGAGGGAACGTGGGATCACGATTGACATTTCCCTGCTGAAATTCAACACTCAGAAGTACACCTTTACCATAATCGATGCACCTGGTCATCGTGATTTCATTAAAAACATGATCACTGGAACCTCACAGGTATTTATTTCAGGTGTTGACCTAGATTTTAATTTATATTTAAATAATAAAATCTCTCGGGGGTAAACATTTAAAACAATTCTTAGACCCATTTCTTTCTTTTTCCTCTGAGACATCAAACCATGTGATTTTGGTAGACTGAATTTGGGTGTGTATGACCAGAACTTGTTGAGAGAAAAGGAAACTGAGCAATGTGGGGGGGCTCCAGGTTTTTAACTACTCTGTGCCACCTAATTGTAGTTGACCTAAACCCGTTTTGTTTGTTGATTTTTCTTAGGCTGATGCTGCTCTGCTGATCGTCTCTGCAGCAAAGGGTGAATTTGAGGCTGGAATTTCTCGGAACGGTCAGACAAGAGAACATGCTCTACTGGCGTACACTCTTGGGGTCAAACAGCTTGTAGTTTGTGTGAACAAAATGGACCTGACAGAGCCACCATTCAGCCAGAAACGTTATGATGAAGTGGTTAGGAATGTTTCCGTGTTCGTCAAGAAGATCGGCTTTGAGATAGGTGCTGTACCTTTCATACCCATTTCTGGTTGGAGTGGTGAGAACATGATTGTCCCATCCCAAAAGGTATGTAGAATTTTCAACCTTTCTATACAAAAATGCTTTCAGTTGCCTTGTTCTGTTTCTGGAGAGCTACTGAGTTTAAGAGTTCTTGAAGGCTTTAACTAGCTGGACCTTGTGCGTTTAAGACTGGGGTGCCCAAACTCTGTCCTAGAGGGCATGTGTCCTGGATATTTTCGTTCCAACCCCAATTAAGTGCACCTGAACCAGCCAATCAAGCTCTTTTTCTAGGTATACTGAAACTTCTAGTCTTTAAGTAGGAGCTGAAGTATGTAGGACTCTGGCCCTCCAGGACACTGTTTAGACACCCTTTCCAGGAAGATTTGGCACCCTTGTAAAGTAGATGATGATTCTAATTGTTTGTACTCTTCTCTCAGATGCAATGGTTTAAAGGGTGGAAGCTCAAGAGAAAAGAAGGCCACTGTCATGGCCGAACCTTGTTGGAAGTGCTTGATTCCCTACATCCTCCAGTGCGCAATGCAGGCAAGCCCCTGCGCCTTCCCCTACAAGATGTCTATAAGATTGGCGGTGGGTAATGTTGATTGTTGAAAACCACTTTTAGTCAACTAAGTCTTTGACCAAATCCTCCACTTATTCACAGGTGTTGGAACTGTCCCTGTGGGTAAGATTGAAACTGGGGTCTTAAAACCAGGCATGGTTCTCACCTTCTCACCAGCAAAACTGACTGCTGAGGTCAAGTCCATAGAGATGCATCACCAGGGTCTTCAGACTGCTCTTCCTGGGCATAATGTGGGCTTCAACATTAAAAATGTATCTGTGAAGAACCTTCGAAGAGGTGATGTAGCTGGGAATGCACAGCAGGACCCACCATCAGATGTCAGCAGTTTTATTGCTCAGGTTTCTATGCTCTTTACTTTCTAATGCTAATTATGGTTGACCAATCAATAAATGCTTGTTTCATGAAGATTCTTTTTCTCTTCCAAGATTATTATGCTGAACCACCCAGGCAAAATAAAGGTTGGTTACTCTCCTGTGCTAGACTGCCACACAACCCATGTTTCCTGTCGTTTTGCTGAGCTAAGGGAGAAGCTAGATCGTCGTTCTGGTAGGAAACTGGAAAGTTGGCCCCAGTACCTGAGGTCAGGAGATGGTGCCACAGTCAAACTGGTCCCAAATAAACCCTTATGTGTGGAGAGCTTCTTTCATTATCCTCCTCTGGGTAAGGGTTTTTTTTTTTTTTTTTTTTTTTTAATTGTTAAACTACTGTAAAGGAATCAACTTTAATCACTTTTTTGCTTTTAGGTCGCTTTGCTGTACGGGATTTAAAACAGACTGTGGCTGTCGGGGTCATCAAGTCTGTGGAGAAGGTTGACCAAGCCAAAAAAACCTCCCAGAAAGCCCCTGTGTCAAAATGAGTTCATCATTTTGTCCCTTTTTATAACTTTATTTACCAGCAGTCTGGTATGTGAACCCAAAAGGTTACTCTTTAAGTTTGTGTAGTTTTATGCGAGTCACAATATTTTTCTTTAAAGCCGCTTTTTAAATGCGTTGCTGGTGAATTGGGTTGTCTGAACTGATAATGTAACCCAAAATGAGGTTTGGATGAAGCGTTGAGAGCTGTATATTGCTGGACTGCAAATAAATTTGAGTTTACACTTCAGTTGGAAACTTGTTTGTCCACTTGTGCTTTCTTACCATTTGTACTCTTTGCTGTGTAAGCTTGACACATGGACGGTTGTTAGCATGAAACATTTTATTGATAATGGAATGGTAGGTGAGGAACATGTTCAGACATTGGACACAATCCTCAGAATCTGCAGTCATATAGAAACATGTAGAACATCAGGCCTCAATCCCTATGCTTTAACTGTTGGTAAATGGGGGGGGGGGGGGTGGTAATAATCCATTACAACTTTAAGTCACTCAAACTTTTAAGTTAGAACTGACTTGTTTAAATGTAGGGGAAAGTGATTACATGAGTCTTTTGTAATGCTGATGTGATAACTTTGACTCTTGCTGTATAATGGAAGCCTAAAATGGGAACTGTGATGGTTCTTGTCCATCACTGGAGATTTGAGCAGTTATTAAAACTGCTCTACCATTGATAGCTGGAAGCACAAACTAAAACGGCATATATTTGCAATACGGTACATCTATGTCTATCACTTGAAAATATAACACCAATGAAGCAAGTAAACATCTTCCGTAGTTCAAGTATCCAAGACCTTTCAAAACACAATATTAAAGATGGACTAAGGGTGACCCTTGTGTTCTTGGAACAGCACTATTCAATAAGACTGTAGTAAAAGTACTTGTGCAGATTAAACAAACACTGAAATGGAATCACAGAAGAATAACCTGTGAAAGAACACAGGCAGGAGTGTGTTTGCATTTGTAGGAATAAATTTACACCATTGCAAGAACTGGGAATAGTAAACACAATGTAACGTTGCACTCTTGGACATGCTTTAGTGGTGTTATGAAAGGTGTAGGTTTAAAAAAAAAAAATACTACAGTTTAGGAAACCTAAAAGTCCAGTTATTTCACCAGGAAAAGAATTCAACTTCTGTCTGTCCCTGCTATAGATTATAGCAACAATGGCCACATTAATACTTCAACTTATTTGAACAAAACTGG